TCGGTAGCAAAGCTTTTGAACGATGGCGAGAACTCTGGCGGCAGAAGGGCTTCCAGTCCGACGTCAGGTTGCTCTGTTTTTGCTTGTCAGGTGGGTAACGTTAAATTGTTTTTTTTCTTCTAAATTGACGCTTATGTTCGCCAAACCCACACAAGGATATAATTAACTAGAACTATGCACGTTCACAATTATTTCAGGAAGCACGGAAGGGAGGGGGAGGAGATGAGATGCGGAGGAGGGAGGGTCTAGCTCCGATTTGTTTGAAAATATTCGAACGTCAACACCCAGGATCGCTTTGAGAACCTTTAATGATTTCTGAAGGATCATGTGACCATGTCATGCCATGTCACGCACCAACATTTCATTTACACTTGTCCTAGATGGTCACACAGAAGATGTCTCCATGGAGACCTGAGGAGGGAAATAAATCCTTTTTTTTGAGGAAATAAAATCCTCCAACCAATCTCAACAGTATTAGTACTTCAGTGAGCTGACTGTCATCCATCAATATAGCACTACACTACTACACCCATACTTTCATTTTCTCACCAGATTTCACTCAAAACATCAGAATGAAGCCGGCAGAGGAAAGCAGAGTGAGGGAGGCCTACAACGATCTGAGTTTTTTTTTTTTTCCCTTTGGAACCCCATATGCTTCGACTGCTAAAAGAGCTAGTCTCTAATTGCTGCTGGGATATGTGAACAGGTTGTAGAGGTGGAGAATATATAACCCATCCCGTCATGTCTTCATCAGTATGTTGAGTCACGCTCTGCAATGTTCCACTCACTTCATGCTATTGAAACTAATCAGCAATTTACTGCAATACGATATACAGCATTCCAGATGTTCTTTCTGTAGGGATCTGCATTGAATGCTTGTGGAAAAGGTGGAGAATGTGCTGAATATGTGGAAAAATGCTGTGCAGAAATCGTCTGGAAACAGTCTTTCCAATTCACTCTCCCTCTGGGCTCATTTACACACTAACACCTCAGAAATCAAACCACAGTACTTCAGATAAATGCAGAGAAAAGGAGCTTCACCCCCATTGAGAAACAAACGCTTCTGCGTGAGACATCTGCACTAGAGTCATACTCACCACTAAAAATCCCCCAAAGGTGGCCAACCGTCCAGAGAGATGTGAATGTTTCGTTGTGTCAGAGTAACTGATGTCTTTCTGCTGTCTTATTTCTGCTTGCTTTCCCTCCCAGCACCTTTTCCTCCTTTTTTTCTCTCTCTTCTGTGACTCACTCAAAGCCATCTGTACTGTAATTCAATCATCAAACTAAGCAGTGGAAGTAATGATTTCTTGGATTAGCTATAGGGCACCAAGCCACTATCTTAATATTGACTGGCAGTGAGTGCAAATATGAGCTCAGCCAGCAGCTTCGTTTCACTTTTTGAGGGATGTTTTATGATGTTGTCTGAACTCACCTCATCATATTGCCAATATTTTACAATATACATGATGCAAGCTATTATTAGATAGATAGATAGATAGATAGATAGATAGATAGATAGATAGATAGATAGATAGATAGATAGATAGATAGATAGATAGATAGATAGATAGATAGATAGAACGCGCCGTTTAGTTCCGGTTTTGATGAAGCCCCTCCTTCGAAATACAAAATGTTCTGTGATTGGTCAGCTGGCCAAGAGTTTTGTGATTGGAGCCACTTAGCACTTGTTTGGGAAATGTCACACCCCTTACCATAACTCTGAGTTTCATCTGCTCAGATGTAAATATTAAGGATGGCATCAACTCCAAGCCAATTCAAGCCTGATTCAGACGACTGTTAAAGGGTTAGTTCACCCAAAAAATGAAAATTAATTAATTAATTACTCACCCCCATGCTGTACCAACCCCGTTAGACCTTTGTTTGTCTTCAGAACACAAATGAAGATATTTTTTATTAAATTTGAGAGGTGCTGCTACACTACTTCAACAAAAATAACAACTTTATTCGACTATTCCTTTTCTTCCTTTGTAGGCCTGAGACGAGAGTTCAAGAGATTTCCACGACGCATGCGCGAGAATTGCAATCTCCATCAACTACTTCAGTTCAGTTCTCGCGCATGTGTCATGGAAATCTCTTGAACTCTCGTCTCAGGCCTTCAAGGAAGAAAAGGAATAGTCGAATAAAGTTGTTATTTTTGTTTGTTTTTTTACACAAGTCTGAAGTGCTCCATTTCAGGAGAAGCTTTTGTGCGTATAGCCTAAATTGTCCTATGTCTGTCTACTGTTCTCCATAAAATGTGCAGCACACAGATAGACGTTGGGGTATAATTTTCAGGAACGGTGTTTAAAATTAATTTTAACCGCTCTCATCAGCCTTAGGAAAGTCAAAGAGAACACAGCATTACGCAGCTTAGCCAGGCCTCACAATTTTTGTTTTGTTTTGCGTATTCCGAGGGTGGGGATTATTTAAATGAGAAGTATTGTGACTTCACAAATCCCAGGAAAAAAGTGTTGTAGTCCAAACGAGTCGTTCATTGTAGTTCTTAAAAAGTGAATTCTGTTAAACAAAATTCCTCCAGATAAAATATTGCAGTAAATTGCGCTTATTAAATCTAACAATCGTTTATCATATCACGTAAAACCGTGCAAATTTTACTTTGCTCTCAAATTGTTAATGTTAACAACGTCACCATTGCGTGACTTTATGTAATGTCCTTTCGATATTATCCTTGTTTTCGCATGGGTCCGGTTGCAGTCTCTCTTCTTTTTCATCCAAATTTTCCGAAGTACGAATGAAGTCTTTTGCGTTTTACAGTGGGGGAATCTCTAGTTGTCACAGGTGTTTGTCATTTGAACCTTTCTGGATCCGCCATCAAGTTGATAAGTTTAATTATATCAATTGCTGCGAGAAAGGCTATAAATCTCCACATCCAAAATCCTCACACTCAATAGCCTTCTAGCCGAGACTCCTTCTTTATGTGTACAGATGTGATGTAATGACGCAAAGACATGCTCGAATTTCCAGCGGAAATCCACCAGTACCACTGGAATTAAAAACATTATTCCAAGCTTACCGCTTTGAATCGAGCTGAGGCAAGCAGAGAGTTTTGAACACTGGCTGGTTATGTATTTTCTCACAAAATGATTTTGGATCATTTTTAAAACAAAAAAATCTACGGACTGCAGCTTTAAATTGCAACATTACACATTGACTAATGTTGAAAATAATAGGACGCCTTTAAAATTAAATGAAATGCTGTACCAATGTAAAAGTACATCTAGGCAATTAGTAGAAATAAACTCTATAACATATTAAAAATGTTTACAAATGTATAAGGGAACTGGCATGTGTAAAACACACAACAATCCAATGTTGGCATCAACGACACCAGCCACTTGATTGTTCAAAGCTACAATCCTTAAATTGATAAGCTATGATTTTATAATAATGGGATTTTCGTACAAAACAAATGCAGGTGCTGCATTTCAGTCAATTGACCAAAACTTTGTTACAGAGCACAGACAGCATCCAGCCTAACCAATCACTGTCAAGCAGGAGACTGCAGTTGCTCTGACTGGAACTAATTGGCTTCTGGGTAGCTTTGTGTTTCCAATACAGAGGTGGAGCTTTACATAAAAGCTAACCAGCAACACGTTCACAGAGGCACATCACTCTCTGTTTGAAGAAGCAGACTCATTGTTTGAGGGACAAAAAAAGCTCTACACGTAACATGAACATGTGAACTCAACACAGATTTTCCCAATTTGAGTCTTCCTAGTGAAATACTCCAAGATTATGCTTTTCCCACGGAGCAGCATCATGCATATTCAATGTCAACAAGCGGTCATCGTTTCGAGCATACATCTACGTGTTGCTTCGATGGGAAGAAGCCAAGTGATGAAGCTCACTGGCAGCGTTCCTCTCTCTCCTATTGTGAAAGTGCAGTGATGTGGATGCACCTCATGCTCGTTCACCCCATCATTACAGGGGGCAGTGTTTAGCTGAGCAGGAGTGTGCTGCAGCCACACTGGAGAACAGGCAGACGAGTGCCGAGACACAGCTTGGTGCTCAGAAGAGCGTCATGACGGCTGTGGCTCTCTGCCTTGAACCCCCAGGGTTATTATAATCCAAACATGCTCAGTGCAGACAGGCACGTAAGACAAAGAAATCTCAGTCGAGCTGTTGTGTGAGATGCTGTTGATAATGTCACAGATGTGGTGGAGGAGAAAGCAGACCAACACAATGTATCCTGATGTGCAGCCACCTCAATTTGTGGTTTTCAAAGCAAAACATCAAAGCTCAGTCCAGGTGGGCAAACGAATGTTCACGGTAGCTTTTCAGATGATAGTCAAACCCGCCAAGCAAATCTAGTTCTCAACGGGAGAGTGTTTTTCTCACCATATGAAATGCCGCCCACCCCCCTTTCTCATATCTAAAAATAAATAATGTTTACCAAACAGCTTTGTCTAGAAGTTTTTGCCTGTCGAAAGACATTTTACTCCTGAAAATAAAACATTTTTATGCACAAACAGCATTCCATATCTGAAACGCCCCTTTACGATTCGGGGAAAGCATTCATTGCAAATCAAGTGAATAAATTGGGCTTTCAAACACATTTATCATTGATTAAAATAAAAAAGAAATGTGATGCTCATCAGGATCAGCTCCATTATCATATGAAAGTCTGTAACATCACACAGTCTTCAACATGGGACCCCTCTATCATTCTGAAAAAGACCAGCTCAGCCCAGTCATGAATCCCCATGCTGGTCAAGCTGATGGACCAACAAAACCAAGATGTTCCCCAAGCTGATCGACCTTGCTGATAATGCTAGTTAGGAAGCTTGTTGAGGGCATCAGCACTCAAAACACAACATCCTAAACATTCAGCCATAATTAAAAGGTATAGGGCTCTCCTTCTCATCAGAAAGTTACACCCAACAACGTACGCTCTCTCTTGCCAACCAGCCATGAAAACATGGTAAGCAATTAATGTAAACTCTTTTTTAACAAAAAAAGAAAAATCAAGCAAGACCTACTTGCTTTCCCAGGTTTGGGCCTCTGCAGGAGCTTCTGCACCGTCATCAGGTCCTCCGTCTTCACCGCTTGAAGTAATTCATGATCTTTCCCCATCGTTATTTATTTTACATCCAAAGCATCCTCTGAATGCGTGGTGTTGCCCGGAGATTTCCTCTGCGGATCCTCCCTCTTGCGATGGAGCTGCAGGGCGCGATGATGATGATGATGATGATGAGGGTGATGATGATGCACACTGGCGGAAGGATGCTCGAACACTATAGAGCTTGTGCAGCTGGATCCTATGAATCACAGATGTTTTTATTCTGATATCAAGAAAACAAGCTCGGCGACGGACTTGCGATTAACGCATCGGTGATGGATTGGATCTCCAGTCTGCGTTGTGATGGCCAAAACGGAACAGTTTGTTCTAGAAAACCATCACCAGATAAATCAGCTTCAATCACGTTTTGGTAGCGTGAGCGGGGTTGATGCGATGCTTTAAAATACAGCAAAATCAATGTTCCTTTAAATTCCCACGTGCGTTTTTTTCCTGGGATCCGTGAGGCTGTGCTGAAGACGCGTCAGTCGGCGGTGCCATTGCTCCGTAGTACTCGAACCTTTATCTTCTATGCTGCGATGAAAATACACAAGGAGCGTGCAATGTGCATTTCTCCAGCCGCGGATAGGGTTGACATTGCTGTGGTAAATGGCTCCGCTTCATCCAGAGGGCGGTCCCAAAGTGTAAGGAACACCCCCTAATTCCAGTGCTGACAGCCACATGCTACGAGTCTACATTCATGCACTGTAAAGACATGCTGTTGAAAACACCATAACCCTAGCTATGGTAGCTGGCACTGGGAATTGTTTTGTAACCTACCTTTTGCCCAACTGCCAAAATTGGATTACAGCTGAACAGCTCACCTGTGCACTGAAAACAAATTTCTCCTTTAAAACAAACATTTTTATGTTACTATAGTATTATTTAGTAAATAATCCGATAGTCAGTAGACTTGTTATGGAATTAGTCTCTATTCATTTGCTTAGTAGGCTAGTGCCCTGACAATAGTGGCAAGTTCCATTTTTCCAAATAGGATATTGCTTAATTGTTACTACATTCAATTGAACCATTGACAATTCATTACATGTCCCAAAATAAAGCAAATAACAAGTGACATAAGAAACATTAACAATAGTTTATCATAAGTAGGTGCTAATATGCAAGTAGTAAAACTAAATAATTATTAGGAGGTAATGAAAAACTATTAGTGATGATACTGCATCTCTATTTGATTATAGGATATAGGCTATCTAATGAGTAAATACCAGAATATAACAAGTAGTGAAATATAATCACTATTAGAACATATTAAAAAATAGTCTATATTGAATTACGTATTCATTTATTAGAAAGTACTAACATAAAAATATATAGTTAGTTTAAAGGAATTTGATAAATCTGTCATTTATCTGGATGCTGTAAGGAAGATTTCCAAGATAAAGATTAAGCATTTCTGACCTACGTTGTCTTGTGTAGGATGCTATATGATTCATACAGCTTTCCAGTTTTGTTTTCTTAGTAGTTAAAAGACTACATAGGACACAAAATAACACTTGCAGTTTGGTTTTTCTTACCTAGACCCAACAATGCTGTCAGTTCTTCAGTCTGAAGGAGCCTGAAGATTGCAAAGTAGGATACAAAAAGAGTTTGGCTGCATGAAGCCTACAAAACAAAACTGTTTCCTGAATGCTGGTCAGAGTTATTGTCTTAACTACATGGGGTTTCTTTTAGAGTCTTATATCCAAATCACAATGACCTTCTTTCAGAGCATGATCCAGATCCATGACTGTCTGCCGTGTTCTATTCACAGATAGGCCTACTTAACACTTGGTTTACCACCTCAGAAAAGAAAAACGGTAATATAGACCTATACATTTTTTTTAGGGTGGGGGGGAATTAGAAAACCGCTCTTTGAAACCCAAAGTCTTTGAATGGATATTTCATGCAGATAGCTCTGTCATCACTTACTCACTCTCATGTTGTTTCATCCAAACCAATGATTTTTTTGTTTCTTTTTGTCCATTGGAAGTCAATAGCCTACCAAATAGTTTACCAAAACTGTTTGGTTTCCAACCATCTTCAAAAAGGTGGAAATCAAATAGGCTACAAAATCAATGCCATTTTAATATTTTAAACATATGAAAAGCCATTTTGCTCCAATTGTGTTTTAACTCTCTAATATGGTTTCACCGATCATCGCCATCATTAAACATCTACCTGCACATCCTCCATCCAGACATCACTGACCCTGTACTGTTCACTGTGCTGTGATCCAGCGCCACCCAGTGTTACAAAATAGAAAACCTATTCTAAAAGTCCCAATAACATCCTGCGGACCTCTAGTGTTCACTACACACATTAAATTTCAGCTGTCAGTTTTATGCAGATAGAATGCAGTGAATGGGTGGAGACAGGCCTCTAGTGGCCACCACCCTATATAAAGACCATGTATTGAACTCCATTAAAACGTGCATCTCATAAAATATGAAAATATTCAATATGAATATATGAAAATAGCAAATTCCATGTGGTCTCTCACACTCTTCTGACAATTCTGAAAGCTTTTAGCAGTGATATATTTTTCAGCACAAAATGAACAAGTGAAATAAGACACTTAATTGCAACACTCATAAAACGGATTTGTTGGAAACCAAACAAACTGTGCTATTTCATATCTATTCAAGGATAAAACATTTTGTGTTTAACTCAACCAGAGTAACCCACCTTACATGCAACAAAAAGTGTGATTAGATCTTTTACACTCTAAATGTGTCATAATCACACTATTTTTGTCAGAAATGTGCCATCTTTGAGAAAATTTGACAAAAACATGCAATGCAAAAAAACAAACTTGCATTATTAAAACTTCACTGTTACATTTATATTAAAAACAGTTAACATTCACTCAAATTCAAATACAATTCTTCATCTCGTTTACACTTCTTGCATATCAAACAAGTGTTTGAAGCATCTTCCATTTACAGCTGCAAGAATGCAAATAAAAAGACCTATTTCATACATAGGCTACATAATAACATTATAGAAAGCAAACAAATAACCAACACAAAATGTGTTAAAATGGCCAAAATACACATAATAATATTACTAAAGGGTTAGTTCACAAAAAAAAAAAAAAAAAAAATCCCATTATTTAATGACCCTTAAGCCATCCTAGGTATATTTGACTTTCTTCTTGCAGCCAAACACAATCGGAGTTATACATTAAAAAAAATATCCTGGCTCTTCCCAGCTTTATAATGGGAGTGAATGGTACCATTTTGAAGCCCAAAAAAGCTCATCCATCCATCCATCATAAAATAATCCATATCCGGCTCCAGGGGTAAAGGCCTTCTGAAGCGAAGCGGTGTGTTTTTGTTGGAAACATATCCATATTTATAATTTTATAAACTATAATCACTGGCTTCCGGAGCGTACGCAAGTCGAGTTCCCGGAGAAAAAGTGAGCTCATCCTTTTTGAGAGCGTATAATACAGTAAGATAAGTGAATGAGACAAGTGTCAATGACTGTTTTGCAATAGGCTTTTGACAATCTAATTCTAAACAATTTGCCTCTAGCATTTTTGCTTTAGGAGAAATATGCCAGCATCACACAATTTTAGACATGATGCAGGCTACAGGTGAATTAAATATCACACAGGAGAGACATTTTACACTTGTCTGAAAAATAATCATGATGTTCATGTTACATTAAAGTGCTGAAAGAGTACAGGTATTTGGCTTTCTGTACGCAAAGGAGGGACTCAATAATGGCTTAATGGCTGAGGACAGGGCAGAATCTCTTAAAAGAGTGAGTATTGAGGTGGTGAGTAGGACAGATGCCAGAAAAACCATCACTAGAGACAGGCAGACAGGCAGCAACCAGATTGATTGGCAGATTAGATAAGTGCTCCTCCTGAACCTTACTATTAAGCATAGTGTGTGTTGGAACTGGATGAAATATTCTTAATGAAATATGCAGTCTGACTATGCAGCATGGAATAATAATCACACCACGTTGGTTCATTTGGCCAACTGATCCCCTTGGTTTCTCCTAAGGTTTTTTTTTTTCTCCACTCTGTCACAGATGGAGTTTAGGTTCCTTGCCACCGTCACCTTTGGCTTGCTTAGTTGGGGACACTTAATATTCAGCAATATTATAATACATTTGACTGCAGTGAAACTATCGGATGAGAACTGAACTGAGCTGGATGATGATATAAGTTTTTTTTTTCCAGAGCTTCATTTCATAATTGATGAGTTTTACATTTCGCTGAACTGAATTAATGTACGGACTTCAGCTGAACAATGACATATTGTCTTTTTAGAGCTGCTTTACAGCAGAATTGAATTCTGTTTGCATCAGTGATCATTATGTTCCTGCGTATCACCGTAAAGCTGCACTGAAAGCATTCTTTAGGTGGCTTGACCTTACTTAAAGTTGTATCATTGTTTTCAGTAATGTGCAACCTGTACATATGTCAACACCTGAAAAAGGTGTTTTAGGGTTTCAGTAAGCTTTAATATTTGAATTTAGAGCTAGAGGCATACATTATAGAAGTAATTTATAGATGCTACACACTGGTGGTGGTTGAGGAGAGATTCCCTGATACAATTGTAAAGCGTAAAAGCCTCAGTCATTCATTCATTCGGCATTGTAAAGTTATTTCATGCGGTGAAAATTCATATCACAATACGAATGAGTCATCACAAAATAATTGTGCATGTGTTGTGTATAATTAGCTTCCACACAAAGCTAGCTAACACAAAGCAGCTACAAACAAATTTGTAACCAAAAGTGAGCAAAATCTGAGCAAAAACCTCGCTTTCGGGACATCCTAATTTGCAAATCTAGTATAAAATTAAGAATTAAGAAAATTAAGAAATGTTTGTAGGTTTAGGCGTAGGGTAGCCTAAGGGGATATAGTGTGTACAGTAGCCTATAAAACCATAACGTCTATGGAATGTACCCATTTAGATAACTAATGTACCCATTTAGATAACTAAATAAATGTGTGTGTGTGTGTGTGTGTGTGTGTGTGCGTGTGTAATACATAAATGGGTTTGCTTTCGAAATCACACATTCAAAACTATAATGCCAGAAGCAACCATTCAGCTGATGAAACATGCGTGTAATATTTCACAGTAAATTTGGTATTCCGCTTTCTGACAACGATGATTGTAACGTTACATTTTTCTTCTGAAAGTCTTGAGCGTCAGTAACGTTACTATTCATAATTGACAAATATCTGCAGGACAACATATTGTGAGCAACACAAGTTACCTTACGCCAAAGAACTTGACGCCTTCGTGCGTTTTGGATTTTTAACAAAAGATGGGGCGGGGTTAAGAGGGGTTAAAACATTTGATTGGCTAGAACTGGCAGCAGACAGGAGGAAAACACAGCGATGCGGCATCTGATTGGATGACGGGTTTGTATCAAAGTGAAAATATGCGCCTCGGGCTCTTCTGTTGCTAGGGCGTCAATGGCGGAACTCCGCAGCAGAAGTTAATATGACACAAGACAGAATCGCATAAGGTAATACTGCAAAAACCTCTTTACAATAATAGCATATGTTTCGTTTCAGTTTATTTTTTTAATGCTCAGTTAGCGACGCTGTCTCTTCGTGAGCAGGTTTATGGGTGGAGCAGTTTGAAGAGCTGAGTTACTGTAAATCTGAGATAAGTTAAAGTGATGAGTGTTGGTGTGGCGATCCTCATAGAAGAGTTTCATGAACTGCTTCTTTCTGAGTTTCAAAATGACTGCTAAGTTCTATCTACTTTAGTTATCAAAAGCTTAAAAAGCTGATTTTAAATGTAATATGTACATATCTGTACTGCTCTTCTCCTATCTGCCTGTACTTTTCACTTGTTTTGAACATGTATAAACATGTTGAATGTGCACGATGCATTATGGCCCATAGAGAAATACTGCACTTTACATAACGGTCCTTTAATACTTGGATTGGACCAAAAGAGGAATGCACGTTTTTATGTAAGAGTAACAGTAAAGCTGATTGGCAGCAGGATGAAATTAATCTCTGGTATCTTTTTTTTGCATCTTATGGTCTTCATCTTAATTGAAGTGCCCTTTAAACTGTGGCCCTTATCAGGGAACGGTCACAGATTGTGAATCAGGACACATGATCCTCAGATCTGAGACATCTCATCCTGGAATTCCCAGCATTGTCTTTTGGCAGTAGATTTTTTTGCCTTTGAATCTAGGTCATTCATTCACGTCCCTCTGAAAGTTATCCAGTGCTCTGCTGTTCTCCCTGATGGATTCACTTGTGGGAAAGGATTCTGGAAGAGCAATAGATGATATAATTGCTGGTCTTAATGCTCTTAACCCCCGTCTGCATGAGAACCCTGCTGCTAAATCAGAGGATTAGACTATGAATTTGGAGAACCCCTCCCTTTCCCGTTATCATTAAATGTCGAAATCTGCTAAACATGCCGCAGTCACAGCTCATAACATTTTTTAGGCATTGATCATTAGGGAGATGAGTGTGGGGAAACATAGGCTTGTTGGTGCAGGTCACAGTTTGTTATTTAGGTTTCTCTCTCACATGTGTATGGATGAAAGGCTGTTTTTGAGAGTTGAGCACAGCTTCATTCTCTGCTCTGTGAACAAAGATCAGCATCTTTGTGTTAAACAAGGGTAAATTGAATAGCTTGCATAACAGAGCTGCCGATCCACCTGTCCTGTATTTGTGTTCACTTACAGGCAAAAAGAAATAGGCAGCTGTTCTCTCCTGCACAATGACACCAGTGTTATTATATAGGCACTATTGTACTGAAGTTAAGGTGTAGTTTTAGTTAAATGGTTCTGTAAACGGGTGGGTTCAGTCATGCTTGTAAATTGAAGCCACATGGGCACATGTAAGGAACGTGCAGTTGCTTTCACTTGAACAGAACACCCATTTTAACGGAAGTGGTTTCATTGTAGCATGCTAGCCTCGAAACATATCCCCTGATCAGTAAAAAACATGTGAGTTTTCTTGTTCGTAGTTGTAGAGAAGGTTTATAAGTATGTACATACATACATACACGCATATATATATATATATATATATATATATATATATATATATATATATAAACATTAAATCACTCAATGGGCTATATGCATGCATAAGTTCCGCATTTGACGCAAGGATGCTCAACAGTTTCCGGTTGGGGAGATTAAAGCGGAGGAAAACGGGATTATGGCAGAGTCTTCAAAATTACTGTCCTCCCGTCTTTGAAACGAAACGTTCATACCTTTAGATGTAATTTTATATATAGTTATGTTTATTTAATATCATTTTAAAAAGAAGCATAAACACAACAAGGGATGTCTGTTTTATCTGTTTTTGTGACTAATGTTTCTTTAGTATAACCATGGAGTATAAAATTCAATATAAATTCTCGGTATTGCATTGGACTCTACAATCGGCAGAAGTTATCGAGCATCCTTAAACCTTCACCGGAAATATCCGCCGTGCATAGAGCCCATAGGAAAACGAACTACATATATAACAGCAGAAATGTGTTTACCAGACTAAAGGCCTGTTCAGACCAAGAATCATAACTAATGCACAATAACATTGTTTATTATCAGAGTGTGTTGCAGTTATGTCATTGGCCTCTTTAAATGCTCAAGTTGGATTCTGATTGGCTTCTAGTGTGTTATTATTGTTTATCAGATAATATATTATATAGTCATCATTAGGTTCCTTGGTGTGACTGGCCTTTAACACAGAACAAACAATAGTCCAAATTTTATTTTAGCATTAAATGCCATTGCAATTCGCTTCCTTTTTAAAACTGTTTGCGAGTATATGGTTTGTTGCATTATTAATATTTGCATCTAGCATTGACTTTGCGCTCTCTCCTGTCCAAAAACCAGAATCAGAACAGATGTGAATGTGAATCATTTTGGGATTGAGAATCGATTGTTCCTTGATCACAGATTTGCTATCTAAAGGGAAAGCAGTCGAAGCACAAAAAGACAGCAGTGTCATGCCATCCCATCTAAAACTGGCTCACACTGTTATGCGAATGAGTTTATTGCACAAACACATCTCATCAGATATTGTTTTCAATACATGTAACCTTCAGGCCAGTGATTCATTTCCATGACTCCTGTGATTTTGCACTAACACGACGGTTGACTTGAATGTGGTTTCTCATGGTTATAGCGTCTGAGCCTTTTAGTCATAACTATACGTGACTGCGTATCCCCTTGTGCTAAACTTTAACAGATAAGCCTGTGAACATGTTATTATGTTTCAAAAAAACACGCTTCTTCACTTCCACATGACGTGGAAATGATGGCCTGATGGTTGCATAAGTTGGTGTTACATTTTTATGAGCACAGACCATGAGGAACAGGCTCTGTTTTTCAGGCCTGTGTGGAATTTCATGCTCCTGTTATTATTATTTTAGCTTTGTTAGAGTGACATTTTCCAGTATGGGTGTGTTTTGGCTTTACCCTTTCTCTGTAAATGTTTTCGAACCCCATAATGATAAATCTAGTAAAGCTAAAAGTTATCTCTTTCAATGGGAATGTTTTCCTACACTTTACTCTGATATTTGTGACAGAGGCCAACAAGGATGTCAATAGAGGCAGAGGCGTTGCTGCAGGAGGCGAAGGAGAGCATCGAGGCAGCCCAGAACTACAGAAGCGAACTACAGCAGAGACTGCATGGACTCAGCCAGGCACGCAAACAGGTACGCTGTCGCTCTCTGCTCTGCCGCTGAAGGAATAAATAGGTTTCCAATAGGGATGCACGCTATATGGGCATCGGCCGATATATGTTCATTTTTAATGTTATCGTTATCGGCCTGGTAAGAAAATGTGGCCGATATATTAAAAACGATAAATAATGTATTATTCCCTTCAGCTGAGACACTTGTTGAGAACTGTTTATGTTTTTGAATTTCTTGAAATATGATTGAAATCTCTTCAAAAAATGAAAATGTGGTTCGGTACAACATGTGCAACGCAAATCTGTCATATCGGCTATACAACACTATAATGAGAACATCATTATAATTGTGCGCTTGGGACGTGGATTTAATTGTGAGACTTTTGTTTTTGTAATCAGGCTCTCAAAATTAGATAAAAATTTGGATTTAAGTTTATCGGCCGATATATTGGTTATCGGTGTTCAAATATAAAGAATTATCGGTTATCAGTATCGGTCAAAATTTTAATATCGGTGCATCCCTAGTTTCCAACAACTAGCAACATGTCAGTCCACACCGAAACTGCTGTGCAATGTGACACAATTACAGCCAATCAGAAGATATTTCATATGCAGTGGGATTTTGGACCAATTCCAAGGAATTTGAATTTAAAGTGCCCCTATTATTCTATTTTAAAAGTTCCTAATTTTGTTTTGGTGGTCTCCTACAATAGGTTTACAAGCATCCAAAATCAAAAACACCTTTTTCTTAAAAAATTATAATGGGACACTTTAAATGGCAACGCCAATTAAAAAAGAAAGGAAGTTGAATTGTGGACATTTTTGGAATTGGAATTCAATAGGTAATCTTGAAATTTTGTGTTTTTCCAATTTTGCGCAACATTGACAGAAATAGGAACCAAGCAATTGACAAAATGTCCTCCTGCTCGTTACTTGTCTCGGTCCAGGCTGGCTCATATACAGCGACCATGTAAATGGTCAAACAATAGAGACAAATTGCTACTGATCACACCCAGCATGCACCAATGCATAAAAAATACTACACGGAACACAAACAATCTAGCTTCACAAAGGTAGTGGTTCCCTACACAGTAACCAAATAACGGGACATATGTGTGTGTTTTTGAGAGCGCGTGGGTAAGTGATACTCCCACTGTCTCGGTGAAGTGAGTAGGATCCTCTGTGCCAGGAAGCCTGTTGGTCAGCACAGAAGGGCTGATTCATGGGGCACGTCTCCCGGGGTGACTGTAGGATGTAAAGCCGGCCTGCTGCTCGCTGTTATCTTCAGCCTTTGCTTCTGGCATCTTACTCAACTTCCTCCTTCCCCCACCTCCCAGAATGCCTCATTTAGAGCGTAAACAATGCTTTAATTTCCTGCTCTTCATATGAGACACTAAACTCAGAGAATGTTAAAGCTTTCTTTCCTCACATCCTCCACGGGACAGAGAATTGAACCAAACTTTTAGGATCATTGACTGGTGATTGTATGACGCCCCACGGTACTGTGATTAACCTCGCAGCGTGTGCAGCTGTCTGAGTGAGATCCCATATGTGCAGCCCATCTGATATGATCATATCACATGCTCTGTTATTCACAGCAGTGACAACATTTGCGTTCAATATTTGGGTCAAACTGCATTTGTCCTGTATGAGCAGAACTACGTCCAGTTGTAGAGGCTCATCTACTGTATTACGATTCTTCATGTTATTTAAAGAACTGAAGCTTCCTGGGCAGTCGTTGAGCTTTATGCTAGATCTTTAACATTAGCTGTTGTTTCTTGTCTACTTCCTCTTTAAGTTGTTACACTCTGTCTCAGCCACTGATGCTTCCTTAAATCCTCCTAGTGGCCTCTGTCACCCACGAGCCACACTGCTGCCAGCTCGAGTCGAATACATGATCATAGGAAACACATACAGAGCTATAGCGTGTTTGATCCACACTAGCATACATGTGTCTATTTGAGATGAGGGGTTATACTTTAATGTAGTGTATTCATATTCTCTCAACAAAAATGTATAACATTTTTAGCTATTTAGCATATTTTATTTAATATTTCTTGCCCAGAGACTGCATATTAAATTTAGCTCTGTAGCTAGCTATTTCACTGCAAAGAAAATATTGTTGGTTTAACTTAAAAAATTAAGTAACCTGGTTGCCTTAAAATTTTAAGTTGATTGAACTGGAGAAAGTGAGCTACTACAATGAAGGAAAATGATTTAATCATCAGAAACTCAAAATAATAAGTTATCTGAACTAAATAAAGTATTTAAGTTGATTTGACAAAAGAAAAAATGTTGTGATAACAAATCTTGAAAATATGTTTTTTACAGTGATATTCTCTTGTCAAAAATAAAAACATTATCAATGGAGTTGCATTCGCTAATTCTGGGGCAGTCATGGACCATCTATGGTCCCCGTTAAATAAAGTACTAAATAATATATATATATATATATATATATATATATATATATATATATATATATATATATAATAATGTATACTACAGTATATTATTACAACAACAATTTATTAGTATACAATATATATATCATAAAATAATAATTATATAATTAATAATGTATACAATATATAATTATAACAATTAATTATTAATTATATTTATAGTTCTGTTTTGTACATTTTTTGGTTTATTTAAAAGTCTGATGAAAAATAAATTAATTATATATTTTAGGTATTTTTTTTATATTTCGATTTTGATCAATTTGACTATGAAGTAAACGTGGAACGACGTGAGCTTTAATTGGGAGGTGAAATTGCTGTCGCTCCATTCGCATGCTCTCACTGTGGTGTTGGTCAATTTACTTTCAATTATTTAAATTAGACCAATATGCAAACTCAGAACAAGCTAAGAATATTATTTTGAATCACATTATGCTGAACATAAATCCCAGGACTATTGTTCTTGCGCCTGTGTTTGTCTGACATTAACAAAGAGGTGTGTATGATCCTACTTTGGGAGTCTTTGGGAAGGCTGAGTCTAAACATCCTGTGATGGGGAGTCTGCACTTCTAATCGCCTCCACCCTCCACGTGCTCCTCACAGCGCATTGTCACGAATATTCAATATTTAGCCAAAAGATTCTGTCTGGGCTCAAAATATTCAGATTGATCCTGATAAGACTTCAACATATGAAGAATGATGCACGTCTCTGGACAGAAGCATTTCCTGCGTCAAGTGCAAACAAAGCCACGTCTGGAACTTTCCACTAAGGTTCATTAATAGCGCCGTCTTTTTTGGGTTTCATCCATTTATCCTGCAACGCTTTATCTGTGTTATTTTAGACTCTCTTCCCACTTCCTGGTGCTATCTCTACCTACACACAATGTCACGACAGCCTGTCGCGTTCCACGGTGCAGCACTTTTGCTCTGCGGTCTGTTGTGCATTTCTGTCAACATGCTTTGCCCAGGGCTGCATTGAGCTTCACTGATTATAAAGGAATGAGACTTTTCCTCGTTCCAGAAATATGACTCAGGGAATTCTTATAATTACAGGCTTTAACGTGTCCTTTTATGTCAGTGTGAAGAGTGCTTATGTGTGGTATTTCACTAGGTTTTAAACTAATGTACTGGGTCACAATTCACTTGCAACACAGATACAAATGTTCATTGGTAAGTGGCATTGAAGGACCCAAGCTAACCTTCAACTTGCAAGTGCAAGTTTCATGTTCACAAGATAAGAGGAACTGTTTTTTTGTTGTTTTTTTTACATTGAAAACCGCCAGGCTTCCTGTCACTCTTGGCTCCATTTTGTTGAAGGTGAAGCAGTTAGTCTAAAAGATGCACCAAGAAAATTGAATTGTGCCATTCACTTCTCAACACTTCCGCTTTCAGCCCTACACTTCATGTTCAAAACAAGACAGTGGCACACTTAAACATATTACACAGATATCTGCACTTCCTATCACTGATTTATGTAACCCTATATATGAATTTCAAATACATTTTAAGATTTCAGAATAAATTGGTTGATTTATCGTTATAGCATTTCTATTTCTGCATTCAAATAGAGATTATTATTTATTACCGGCTTGTTTCTTTATACTTCAGCCCTGTTTAGAGAGGACTAGTTTTCCAAAATATTTTCAATTTGTGCTCAGCTGTCAGCACATTTAATGAATAATATCTCACTGAATACCGAACTGATTTTCACATGGGTTTTTTGCTGGAAAGGTCATGCATGTAGCTATGATACAGGACACATGGGATATTTTATCAAATACAAACATTAGTCAGGTAATGTTAAATCTTACTTGTGAAAAGTAATTCCCGAGCGATAGTCCGCCAATTTGAGCAGGATCATCTACAGCTGCTATGCAACACAATATAAATACGACCGGAACAAAATGGCGGCAAGATTTCTCAGTGCCCAGCGGCCAACAGGGCATCTAGTCTCTATATGATATCTATGGGCCTCATGAGGAAAACGGCTTATTAATCATAAATTAAAAATGCAGAAAATAATCTCTGTATTGGGTAGGTTTAGGGTTAGTGTAAGGGGATAGAATATACAGTTTGTACAGTATAAAAACGGTTATGTCTATGGAAAGTCTACGTAATGGTATAAAAAGAAGTGTGTGTGTGTGTGTCCAGGTGCGAGGCAGTGCCAGTCAGACACGTGATGCTCTGCAGAGGCACTTCCAGGAGCTGCAGGTGGCGGTGAGTCGACTGCTGACCGAGAGACTGAACGCTCTGTTGCAGGAAGTCGACAACATCGAGCTGGACAGTGTCAGTCCCTTAGATGACTGTCAGAAGCTCATTGAGAGTGGAGTCAGCACAGCTGATGAGCTGCTCCGAGAGGGTGAGTCTGTCAGATCAGTGCAAGTGGAGGCTGGCCGCTCATAGTTCGGGCTACAGTGATTCTTCAACTATGGTCACACTAATCTGATTTCATGGGATTTCAAAGTATGTGTACAACCTCATTAAGTATTTATTAGAACTGAAAATTTGATTTAGTCTGGTGCCAGGGGAGGATACCTCATGTTTGAGCAGTCAGTTTCTTTTAGAGTTCTGTCATATGCCAGCGTGTAGGTCTATGTCAACGGTATGAAATGAAATCAGGCCAGACGTTTGCTTAAGTAGTTGAAGAATATCAATTATGTGGTAGAATCTGATCAAACTGTGAAAAAAAATGGGGCATTCAAGGGCGATAATGGCGCTTAGTTTAGTTTATTTTAATTAATTAAAAAAAAAATTTTGTAAAGATTTTTTTTTAAAACATTGAAATATAATACTTTACATAAATATTGTTTTCAAAAATAGAATCATGTTGCTTAAAGTCCCTGTAAAGGCAATTCTACAAAAAATTTCTAAACACATTATAAATGTTAGATATATGTATTGCTAAAACATATTACAAAGACTGTGAACTAGGGCTGAACGATTTTGGAAAATAATCTAATTGCGATTTTTTTAGCCAATATTGCGATTGCGATTTAATATGCGATTTAAAAAAAAAAGTTATTTACCTTCTGTATTAGTCGACAAAGACAAGCAATAAATCATTGTACAGTATGGATGGGAATCTTTAGATAGCTCATGATTCGATCTACTTTTTTTCTTATTAATTAATCTTAATAACTCTTAATTTAATTACATGTGTAAAAACACATACTTTAAAAAATAAATATAAAAAAACATTTAATTAAAGCAATTACATGTTAAGAATTTTAAATAGGCTATATAACATAATATAGCTTCAAAATATAAAAGCTAGTAAATAAAGAGAAACAAAAAAAAACATTACAAGCAATAAAGAAAGAGTGGTCACTGTATTTAAAAGTAGGCTGTCTGAATGTTTTTCATTCAAGAGCTGGAGTGATTTCCCCTCAGTTTAGATATGATAAGCTGCATTCACACTAATGCATATATCTCTTTTGAAATTGTAAATGTGGTTTGTCCTGTTGGTTTAAGATATAGACCATTTCACGAGATATAAACAACACTGGTCCAGAAGCACTTCCTGTTTCAGTTTGTAACTGTTTTCTTTATTTCACATGTAAATAAAACATCTTAAAGATGTTTGTTTAACTTTTTGATTCAGTTTTATATGTTCTGTTGGTTGTATTTTATCCCGGCTTTTATGTAGTGTTAAAAAACTGAAACAAGTGCTTCTGGACCAGTGTTGTTTACATCTTGTGAAATTGTCTATAACTGACCGTGTTTACATTAATTTCGCGTCATAAAAGCATTTTGACATGCAAGTACATTTACCAATGAGTCACTCACTGCCGCATGTACGAGCGCTCTTCACAAGCACGCGTTATTATTTTAAAATGAAAGCAGCCTTCTCAGTGATTTTCATGGTTTTAATATACAAGCCAACTGCATTCCAAAAGACATAAATAATGCCTCTGTGAACTGAAGCATTTGTAAATAAAATTCCCGCGGGAGAGAACGCGCACTGCAAGTGTAATGTTATAACATCAAGCAAAGCGGCAAAACCTGTTCAATGAAGCCCGCGAATGTCCTTGTAATTCGGTTCAATCCCGAACTTTATGAAATAACGTTACTATGTTTTGGAAGGTTCGAGCGGTGTCGTGTGTGTGAGTGAGGAAGAGAGAGAGCGAGAAAATAGAAGCAAGCAGATTCAGAACGCGGTTCGTTTCTAAAGCACGCGCAGCGTCATCATCACGCATCTGTGTTTAAAAACTATAAGCTCATACTCGATTCTGAAATTCTCTGAATCGATCCAGGATTGTTGAGGAGAGGAGAGAATAAATAACACAATTAACTGTTCTTTTCTGAACGCCAGACCGCGTAGCGTGGCAAGTTGATGCTTTATCTTGCAGACTGCTTTTCTCTCGCGTGTCACGTGACCAGTATAATCGCAGCTCTTGCGATTACAAAATCGCGTTTCATCATATCGCGATTTTATCGCAAATGCAATTAATCGTTCAGCCCTACTGTGAACTGTGAAGTACTGAAATGTGGAGTAAGACCGTTAAACAGTTTTTCACCATTGCAATTTTACGGATTAATTGGGCGGGGCTAAAACAGGGCTCGATGACGCACTGGAGCCCATGAGCTGCTGGACACCCCCCTATTTGATGACGCACAGAGTCTGATCTCCCCCTCTCCACACACACTCCTCGAGCACATTCGCATTCACCGCTCAATCGCGAGTGACTGTCAGTACTATTAGCTAGTTACTACAGCTAAGCCTACAGTTTTCTAGCTAGCTATGCCTTCGACACGGACATGCATGGGCTACTACCTGGATGCGATCATGTACAAAACAGATCGGTATCTTCATTTAAATTCCCCTAAAAACGATCACATCAAGAAGAGGTTTTTAGAGAGCGAACCTTGTTGATGAAAAGCTGAGGATCACCGGCAGCACCCGCCTCTGTAGTGATCGTTTTACACTGGATCGTTTTATAAACTTTCCTCAGAGACAACTGGGATTCACTGATAATCCGCTGTTACTGGTGAACGGGGCCGAAACGGCGATCTCCCGCCTCAGTGTTCATCCTCCCGTCTCCAAAAGCTAATCAGCTAATATCACCGTCAACAGCTTTCCCGCTAGTGGGCGTGGTTTCAGCGCAGCTAGCGGACACGCCCCCAGCGTTTGAGAGCAGAGAATCTGCTCATTTTTTCATGATTTTGATAGCTTATTTCATGTACTTGCCGGCTTTTTTTATCATTCAAATTTGGCTGGGTGGCTAATAACACATTTTTCTGTGGTATGACAGACTCAGAACACATACTTAATTTTGACTTTACAGGGACTTTAAAAGGGAATTAATTTTATTTAAATAAATTGTCTTTAAAATATATACATTTTAGTTGTAGGATCATTGAATGTATAAGCAGATAAAGTACAAATTTGAACCTACTGGCTCAAATGAACCAGCAGAAAACGAATTCTTATTGTTGAGCCCTGCCATTTGGATAATTGCTAGCTATCAAAATGTTAGCTTATTTAAGAGATTCTTTGTGATTTATTTTGATTTTGCAATTGCTATAATGTCCTCTAGAGCTCATTTGATTATACTTGCTAGAGTTTCCCTGACGTTCAGTAATGAGTGTAATAATACAGCGGTCCTTACAGGGGAGGCTGCCATCCGCTGTGGTGTAAGTGAGAAGGAGGACAAGCTGGGCAGTTTCACTAAGAAAGCTCTGCAGATCCAGTTAGACAGGTGAGGAGCACTGGCCCAGTGAAAGAAGCATAGCTTTGATACATCACTGTCACACTCAGTTCATGTCTAGGAACAATGAATACGTGGAGACTCTTGAGAACACAAAAGAAAGCCACCTATTTCTGAAGTTCAGAAGACAATATTCCCGTAATTCCATTACTGCAGCACTCATTGAAAAGCTAACCTTCACTAATGCCTTGTTTCATGACTCATCTGTGTTGTGAGACATCTTCTCAAAGTTTAATGGAGAGGTGGCAGCCGTACTCGCAGTGATGCGCTGAATCACCCAAGCAAATAACAATCATAACTTTTGTGTTTTAGAATAAACGCTTTTGAATAATTTATATATATATATATTTTCCCTTCCCATGTGAACGGGACTTAATTTGCCGGCTTAAAAACATTACTCACCAATCCTACATGAATAACCGTTGCTCTCCACCTTCTTGTTGGCTTGGCTCTTGTAAGTCTAAGGAGGGTCTGTGTTTCTGGATAGTTAAGTTTTAATGGAATTATCTATAAAAAATCTGATAAGACAATGTTGCTGGATAACTGTGCGCCATTTAAAAATATACAATCGTCACGTTGTTTTGTGCTACTTTATACTAACTGAGGGACAATATAGCTTCTTGATGTGCCAATCGACAGCAAGCCACAGGATATTTCTTTAACCCTTTAGGATTATTGTCTAAATATCTATATTGAATCATATAAAGTATCTGTTCTCTACACATCAATGAGAGTGTGCGTAAGGACGGTATATGTAAATACGTGTGTCCTCAGTCTGCCCGAGGTACCTGTGCTGGTGGACGTGCCGTGTCTGTCTGCGCAGCTGGACGACTCTCTCCTGCACATGTTCCGTTCGCACGTGGCTCGGCACGGCAGCGTGGCGTCTCATCCGCCCGTCCAGATTGAGGAGCTGGTGGAGAGACCAGGCGGTGTGCTGGTGCGCTGGTGTAAGGTGGGTCTGGCCTCCCAAGCTCATGGCCATCAGACATTTTAACCCCATGTGAGCCTCTTGGTGATGCCTGTCCTTTTTGCATGTAGGTGGACGATGACTTTACCCCTCAGGACTACCGGTTGCAGTACCGTCGCGGTAACTCTTCTCAGTACGAGGATGCGTACATCGGGAAAGACAATGAGTTCCTGGTGCTCCACCTCGACCCGCACATCGACCACCTGTTCCGCGTGTGCGCCAGAGGAGAGGGCCGAACCGAATGGAGCCCGTGGAGCATCCCGCAGACCGGCTACACCACACTCGCACCCCACGGTACAGACTATGAAACCTAACAATGCAAACACTAGCCATAATTTCTCTCATCATTTACTCACCTTCATGCCATCTCGATGTACAGCTTTTTGTCTTCAGATAAACACAAATAACATTTTTTTTTAGTCCATATAATGCCATTGAATGTATTCCGTTCGACCCAGTGGATGAATCATTCTGTTTTCTGAAGTGAAACAATAGGTGTGTGTGAGAAAAATACTAACATTTTGTAACTTTTTAATGATTTAACTGTAAATCATTGGTTCCGGCCCTCTGTGCTTCCGCTTTGCTGCTCGCACTTACGTTTATGGCAAGCTGAACTTGTAAATGTGCTTAGGGTAGTTGGCCGAAAGCAATGGCTTATAGTTAAACAAAGTCATATACATCGGGGATGGCATGAGGATGATAAATGATTCGAGAATAGAAAGATTTGGATAAACTATACCTTAAAGGGGTCATGAACTGGCTTCTTAAATTTTATTATATTGTTGTCTGAGGTCAACTTATGATGTTCGCTTGGTTTTTACATTCAAAAACGAATAAGTAATAGGCTATTTTCTACCCTAGTTTTGAGCCAAGCTCAAAAACGCTCGGTTTTTATGGGCGTCTCGCACTGAAGACTTGGAAGTAAACGCCCACTGCTGTGAGTGGATAAGAGTTTTGCATATTATTAGCTATGCGTGTATTGCACGAATGGGTGGGCGGGGCTAAACCGGCCGTGTTGAAGTAGGCGTTGATCTTCTTCTGCGGGGGTGGTGTTTTATCCTCTTAAACGTCGTAGTTCCCCACTTTGAAAAACGAAACGTCTCATCAGGCTTTTTTCAAAACACATATTTCTGTGTAAATTGTTCATGAAACACCTCCAAATGAACATGTTTCATGAATATTGTTTCATTGTGTGTTTCCAGAATGGCTTCCTGGCGTGGATGGTTACATTTTGAGCAGTAGGAAGAACATCGCCATGCGCAGTGATTCATCAGCTGGTCATGGAGGCGTGCTGTACTCCAACTCTTCCACATACTTCTGTGGCCAGACCCTCACCTTCAAGTAAATCAGCATTACATTCTTCTTCACACTCTCATAGACTGTGGGACATTTGAAAGTGGGACACTATAAATAGGTTAAGATTATATTACTCGTATACCAATTAATTATTCAATCCGACGAAAAGATGCAGAATCATCGTAACTGACATTTTTACAGGAACAAGCCTATCAAATATCTCACTCACTGTGTGTCTGATTTCTGGCTTTGCTCTTTGTTTGTTTGCAGGATCACAGCTGCTGGACAGACAGATAAGCGTGACAGTTTAGGTGTGTGTGCGGACAGCAGATCTGACACAGGCTCACTGCAGAGGGATCAGGCTGTCTGCATCTCCACTAACGGTACGAGCAGGAAAATATAGTTAAATACCTTTTGAAGATATGCAGTTATTATTGCGGTTAGATTTTTTTTTTCGTTTGTCTCTTCTGCTCACCACAGGTGCATTTATTTGATTTGATCAAACACAGTAAAAACTGTAATATTATGAAATATTACTACAGTATAAAACAACTGTTGTTTATTTGAATATATTTTGAAATGTAATTTATTCCTGTGATGACAAATCTGAATTTTCAGCATCATTACTCCAGTCTTCAGTGTGAACATGTTCCTTCAGAAATCATTCTAATATGATGATTTGCTGCTCAAGAAACATTTATTATCTATCTATCTATAAATTGCAGGAACATCTGTCTGTCTGTCTGTGTGTGTGTGTGTCTGTTTGTTAATCGCATATCTCTTGAACCGTTAGTCCGATGGATCTCAAACTTCACAAGTGTCTTGCTACGGGCACGAGTAAGTGCAGTGTCGAGTTTGAAGTTCTTTGGATTAGAAATGCAAAAGATATCGTTAAATATATCGCTAAAAGAAGCACACATTGGCTTTTGCCACTCTAGCCGCTGGCAAATCCCCCGCTCACGCTGCAAACTGAGTGAGCACAGCGCAGGACCAGAGACAGAGGGACGAAGAAAGCAGATTTGCTCCCTGAATCATCGCGCTTATTCATTTGAGCACTCAAACACACCAAACCAACAATTGCTAAAATCACACAGGCATTATTAGCACAGGACCAGAGACAGAGGGACGAAGAAAGCAGATTTCCTCCCTGAGTCATCACACTTATTCAATTGAGCACTCAAACACACCAAACCAAGTTAACAATTGCTAAAAACACACGGGCACAATTAGCGCAGGACTAGAGACAGAGGAACGAAGAAAGCAGATTTCCTCCCCGAGTCGTCACACTTATTCATTTGAGCACTCAAACACACCAAACCAACAATTACTAAAAAACTGATTTTGCACGGGCACTTTGCGCTAGTTATTATCAATGTTGAAAACAGTTGTGCCGCTTAATATTTTTGTGGAAATGGTGATACATTTTCTCAGGATACTTAAATCCACATTCATGTAAATTGTAACAATCATCTATGGTAGATGCTTTAAATCTAGCAATAATCAAGGTTTAACACACTGTTTTAACTAAACCTAACAGGTAAGTATTAGTAATTATTGCTAAAACAATTAAATAAACAAAAAACGATGCCTTCTGGGACTCAAATGTTTTGTCCAAGTCAGTTTTGAACTGATGCATTGAAAATGATAGTCATTTAAGTTTATTTAAATTAGCTCAATAATGCCATTTTTGCCACAAAAAGTGAATGTGTTTTTATTTCCACTCACCGACTGCAGGCTTCTTGAGTGGATGCAAACATTAGAGTGAAGTCACCATGTGCTTTTCCTTTTCCAGGTGCTGTGTTTGTGAACGGAAAGGAGATGACCAACCAGCTGCCAGCCATCACTGTTGGCTCATCTGTGACCTTTGACATGGAAATGGTAAACCTCTTTCCTGTAAGCAACAACAACAACCCTAGCGATGGGGGAAACTTCAAGCTGAGGGTGACGATTGGTTCAGGGAACAGAGAAGTGGTGTTTGATTGGCTGCTGGATCAGGTGGTGGACAGCCTTTTCTTTGGCTGCTCCTTCACACACCCTGGATGGAAAGTGCTGGTGTTTTGATTGTCACATGATGAAATATCCAGTCTGCTGGAATTCAAGACCTCAAGTTCCTTTAATTTGATCAACCTTTCCAAGTGCTTACAGTTTTTGCCATTTTTTCTTAATATTATCAGTAACAGATATCACTGCAGAATAACATTAAACTTACTGTTTTAAGGTATGACGCCAACCACTACTCTTTGACCTCATTGCAGGTGGACAGGTGTTGAGTTATTTGCATAACAGAACATGTTTGCAAAAGTTTTTTGTTAAGTTGCAAAGCATGTTGGTCTGGTTTACCACAGAAAAATATAGTGAAGCATTCAGAGATCAAAGGCACTCAAAACTGCTCAGAAAACGTGCAAAATAAAAGTTCTTCACGACGACCTACAAAGTTAAATCTTTAATGCTCCGACAATCTTTCTGCATGTGTTTTCTCGAGTCAGAAGTGGAGAATGTGTCTGTGGAAGAATTGTTGCCTGTTTAAACATAGCTGGATGTTGGTTTATGTAGAACACAGTAACATTTAGAGATGGCGTACCTAACAACTAGTATTTTATTCTTGTTTGCCTGGTACTCAGTATTCACATTTAGAAAGTACTGTTTTTAAAACCACAGGGTAGACTGCTTCATCAGTAGATACCAATGCAATGTTTCCACAGAAAAGTGATCGTTCGCACTAAGCTTAAGTGTTGTGCCATTTTATGATGAACTGGGTTTTTTTTTTAGGTTCTCATTTTTAATACATACGTTTTGCTGTACCATTTCGTGTTTTCATTAGCTGGCTTACCTTACATTAACTGTTATTGATGCATTTGTTAGAGAGAAAAAAAGCGTATTTCACACAATAAACATGTGGGGCCAAAACACCCAATTCACTTGTTCCTGAGGTAGGAGAACATCATTTACAAGGTACTATGTAATTGCTCACTGCAGAAGGGAACATTTGTAACCCAATGAGGATACACCCATGAAATATCTGATATTATATTTATAAAACTGTGACTATTTCATGTATATTTACCTCATTTTGCCTGTGCCTTCTCAGTACAGATCTAACATTTGCAATGAACAGTTTTCAAAAGACAAATTCCTGTTTTTTTGTTTTTTTTTTGTAAATGTTTACTAAAATAAAACCAACAAATAAAAGAATGTGTGAACATGACTTGTGAGGAATCGATTGTAAAACAACAACAAAAAAATCTTTATTTTAAATAAAGAACCTGAAGCACTTGTTTCAGCATAATTCAGAAACTCAAGCAGGTTTCATAATGTCCCTATCATATTCTTGATATAAATATCTTTTTTGACATTAATTCATATCAGTAATTCACATCTTGTGTAATTTACGCTGTATTGACCGTTATGAACTCAATTACATAACTGCTTAAGCCAAATATTCAGCTTAATATCCCAAATATTGACCAAAAACATTTTTTTTTAACCAGTGCAGTTTTAGCTAAATAAAACAGTGTTTTACAAACAGATCCCTTTCCTTTAAAACAGAGGCATACAACAAATAAACAAGACTGAAGACTATGATAACTTGCATTTCTGAGTTGAAACAAACTAGACGAAGATTGTAGCCATTTCACTTTGGTCTAAAATAATCTTTCTTGAATGCGGTCACGTTCAGCAAAGCCATGCCACTAAATGTATGTACATATTACGACAGTTTTCAGCAGAAACACCTGAAAATAAAACAAAGGGGCACCATGAAGATCGAATGGAACCAAAGTAAACTGATAGATACAGCAGAACAGACGCATTGTGAGAAAACTAACATATAATATTAATAGAACTGGACACAGCATTGTGTGCAGTAAAACGTCACTGAAATTCAAACACGATTAAAAGAAACTGTTCACACCAAAAATTCAAACCCTGCTTAGAGTCCATGTTTCCATGGATAAGGCAAGTGTAAACATTTCTGCAAGGCGGATGCCCACTGTGTTTTTAGTACCCTGTACCTGTATGTCTCTGTGTTGCAAGGTCAGTGGAATAAAGACTCTGAAAAACGTGACAAACTTAAAAAAAAAAAATAGCAGTGCGTCACTGATGGTTATTCTTCAAGCCGAGATTCCAAAGAAAAGTCATTTGAAGTCTTCAAGTGTGGTGAAAAACGATTGTGATACTTTCACTTTAGCCACCACGGAGAGATCAACAAAACTTTGGTCCAGAAAAATTCCCAAGAAACAAAAAAAGTTAGGAGTGGCACAAACCGAAATTTTGAAAAAAAAAAAAAAAAAAACACTATACACCAGCAAAACTAATGTTCAAGTTTTCAGAAGGAGTTTATCAACCCCTGTGAAATATATGCAATAAAAGGGAGTTTGAAGGAGCCATCCATCAATATTCAAAATATATTAAAAAAATTATTTTCATAGTCCTTTTAAAAACAGGCACCTAAAACAAGTGCTAAAAACTTGCTAGAGCTACGTTGTTGTGTGAGCGGAGAAAAAAACAGAAATGACTTATAGTTCCAATAGCATCTTCAAGTAATTTGAATCTAGAGTTGCTTTGACGACACTCTGATGACATCAGGTCAAATCCCCACGCAACCTGTTCCTAACTAGACATCATCTTTAACCCTGCGAGTGCAGAAAGTGGTGGTTCTCACATCCAGGGGGGCGTTTGACACCCACTGACACTTAATACAATCCAGAGTGAGGAGGAGGTGGTGGTTTCAGTGATCCTGGGTTTTGACTAAATTTGATACACTGACTTCGCCATCAGCAGTGTCTTGCGTTTTGGATTGCTCCTGGCTATCTTTGAGCGGTTGCAGATCTCTCAGGTGAGCCATGGCCTTGTCTATAGTCACTGTATTCACTAAGCCAAAGTCGTGCATGCTGACCAGATGGAGCAGAGTGTTCTGGCACAGATTCTTCTCGACGATGGTGGTGCCGTGCTCCTCCACAAATAACACGCAGGCGTGATTCATTTGGTTGTCAGCTATGAATCTGCACAGAAGGAAATATGAAGCAGAAATGTGATCAACCTCTGAGAGATAAGCTCACATATGTGCAAGGTGATACAGGGAATGCATCCAGGCCACAGTGATATACAGAACGTGGATTGTGTTTAATGGAAGAGGTTTAAGTACAACAAACAAAAAAACAGGACAGTGTGAAAGAAGTGAAATTTACATACCCATGTTTCATTACATGCAGGTTCCACAGTTTCATGACCTCTTTCTCTCCCTCATTGACATCGGTGAACTCCTCGATTTGCTGAGCGGGGTGATGAAGATCAACAAAATCATTTAAAAAGAACAACAATTTCATAGGTGCGTGAAATCCATAATCACTCAACAACGCAACATTGTGGCTCAATTTGACCCTTCCTTTTCAGACTAACACCGATTTAGTGCAAATTTACATCAGATCCTTTGTAACATCCTTCTCAGATGTGATTTAAATATGTGAAAGTAATACAATTCCTCTGACACAACGTCTCACACACAGCACGCCATCTGTTCTCTTCAATGGTAACAGAACCAAAGGGTCTTTAAGATATTATGACTGCTTCCTCACCATAGCAGTCTTCTCCCTGAGCCACTCCGGGTCCCTCTCGTCCTCACTGTCCACTTCCATTTCCTGTGGTCTAAGTGGCACGCAGCTGTCGCTGTGGAAGTACAGGCGGTTGTGGCCGCTGATGCAGGTCCGCGGCTGCTCCTGTTCTCCATCCTCGGGCTCCAGGAACTCAGAAAGGCTGGGCTTTGAGCGCTTGGGCCTGTGGAGACCACAACACTGTGTTTAACATCAGATTCAAAGAACTGAATACAAGCTCGATAGCAGTGCATTCAACACAGGCCTCCGTGTTAACGCTTCTCATTTACTTTGAATGGGTGATATAAGGCTTTGCCGAACTGAATTGTGGGTTACATTGCGTCATAGGTATTGCTTGTGGCAGAATTTGAAACATTTTCAACTTTTCAAGCACCAGCGCAGGAGTTAGCCAATCAGACCAGCTATGCAGTTGCGTTCATGCAACACCGAAAAAGTAAAAGTGATTGGCTGTTGTCACTATGATGATCGCGTCAGCATCAAGTGTGAATGCAGTGTAAAAGGCCTGGGCAAATAATAAGCAACACCATTCCATGAGCAGCAAATAATCATTTTTGAATGATTTCTGAAAGATCATGTGACACTATAGACTGGAGTAATGACTCCAGAGATTTAAATTAAATATTTTAAATTGTAATATTTCACAATATTACTGTTTTTGGCTCAAATAAACGCAGCCCTGGTTAGCATTAGAGACTTTTTTAGAACATGAAAAATTTTCACCAACCGGTTGAACATGTTGAGCAGTCAGGGTAGATACTAAAATTCAAATTACGTGCCGCAAAAAGTGTGCATATATTCACCAATTTACAATGGAGTAAGAAACAGATCAACCAGTCAAATTCATAACACATTACTGTCTTTTAAATCAAGCATTATAAAGCAAAGCAGCTGTCAGCACTGCAATGCCAGACGCATCATTAATTTCTTATGAACAATCCGTTTTGCTTCCAAATAATTTAACTGACAGTTTAATGGGGAAATTAATGACCAATTAATATCCAATGCATTTGATGAAATTTTAACTATACTGTGATATATATACTGCAGCCACAATAGAAATGAATGATGAAACCTTTCGCTAAGGCCACGTAGCAGCTAAAGCATTTTTGAATTTGGATACACATATTTTCAGTCTCATTTTCAAACCACACAGACCTGCAGACAAGGAAGTGTGTAACCGGAGTCCTCTTCACTGGGCCGTTACGGCTGAAGGCAAAGCCAGGCTGGCAGTGGATGTCCTGAGGATTGCCCACGTAAGAGCCGTCATAGCATTCATTTATTGACACGTCGATCCTGGCTCCTTTAGGATGAGGCTGGGTGAGAAACACCTTTACATCAGTATAAACGTGTCTACCAAATTAGGACTAAATGCAAAGGTTAGATATGCGTTTAAACACTGAAAAAACACTGAGGCGTTTCTGGTGATATCTCTCACCACATAGTTGAAGATGAAGCGGCTGTGCGAGAGCTTGAGGTGCTTGAGGAGGCTGTAGAGTTTACGGCAGTTCAACGTGCACCACGGACAGTGCAGGTCATCTCTGGCCTCCGTCTGCTGCCGTGTGTTATTGTTGTAGAGGAACTAGAAAACAAGAGGATGGATACAACACACCATGAGCACACAGTGGCCCATGGACAGAGCAAAATGTCACAGCAGGACTTATGAACTCCAGCGCTCTCATGCTGATATCTTACAGCACAGAAATCTACAGTGGAATGACAGAGAATCAAGGAAACATCCTGAACCTTGATAGTCAATTTAAAGGCTTGGGATAACAGATAAAGGCAAATTTACAGATGTTACTTACCTGATAATAAACACGTATTTTCTGACGAGGTTCAACATGAGTTTGTTCTCTTCTTACTGGTAGATCAGTGCCAACTGAATCATTCACAGCTGCAAACAGTCAAAAACCATTGTTATGATTGTAATCTTTTTAAAGGAGTAGTTCACTTAAAAAAAAAAAAAAAAACTTTCTGATAATTTACTCACCCCCATGTCATGCGTGTTCGTGACTCTCCTATTCAAACTCGTTCATCAAAATGAACGAATCTTTTCCTGAGTCAACTTGTTCATTTTGATGAACGAGTTCGAACAGGTGAGTTATGAACGCGCATCACAGAACAGAGCAAGGCGACCATTTGAGCTTATAAAACAAACTTTTTTTTTTCAAAGGAGCGGTCATGTCACTAGATAAGACCCATATTCATCGTCTGGAATCGTTTAAAGCCCTTTGAACAGTTTGCAGTTTGTACTGAAACTGTCTGTTGGACCTTGAACCGTTTGGTTCCCATTGAAGGCCATTATATGGAGAAAAATCCTGGAATGTTTTCATCAAAAACCTTAATTTCTTTTCGACTGAAGAAAGAATGACACGGACATCTTGGATGACATGGGGGTGAGTAAATTATCAGCAAATGTTTTTTTTTTTAAAGTGAACTACTCCTTTAAGTATTGCACACAAATCAATATGCTTTAAAGGCCAAAATGTTATTGAACTTTACTTGTAAACACTAAGGCAAGGCACTTTTATTTATAAAGCACTAACCAGTGCTTGTCATCTTACCTACTGCTTGTGGCGGCTTTACATTACTAGGCTTGCTGCTGTCTACTGTGCTGGATTCAGAATTGCGTGTAGCAAGCGGTTTGGCCACCGGTGCCGTTCCTCTGTCAGCAGTGTCATTAGTCCATCGCAAAGTGAACTGCAGTGTGGGTCCCTGAGAAAAGGTCTCGAAGGGTGGAAGCAACTGAAACACGGGGTAAAGATCCCAAATGAATGACCAAAAACTACTTAATGTACAAAATGTTAATCAGTCAACATGCAGATAAAACACACCGCCTGAAACTGACCTTCCCATCTCGTATGGTTTCCCACGTTGCCCTTTTCTTGCCTATAGGACTCTCCTCCATCTCTTGCATGGAGACTTCATACTCGCCATCCAAAAGCTGGAGGTGTCTTTTGGAGGAATGCAAAAATAAAGTCTTAAACCAGACATGCAAAACACAAAGAAACTACATACGAAAAAGAATAAGCAATTTAAAGGAGTGTTAAATAAAGAACGTTTACCTATTTTTATCAAAAACTGTCATTTGTGCCACAAAGGTAGTTTCTCCATCATCCTGATGAGAGCAGTATCTCTTCTTCCTGTTAGACATCTCTTCAATAACATCTGAGAAGAGAACAACTTTTTTGTGAACAGGCCTCATCAAAATGTATTTTGAGGTGGAATATTATTAAATCTCTAAAGCTGAAGCTCATACTGGAGTCTCGGGTGGTCATGCCGCTGAGCTCTCTCCCACCTGGACGTGACACTCTGAACAGAAGAGAGTAGGACTTCACCATGTGGCTGTTACTGGGTTCAAACTCATGGCTGGGCACTACCAGAGTGGGAAAAGCTCCCATCTTGGTCTGACTGATGTCGGGGTTCAGAGGCACCTGCTTTTTACCTGTAGGCACTTGCTTCACTGGGCAACTTACATCCTAAAACAGAGAGTTCAAACAATCTGTTAGCTTAGCAGCCATATGTATGTGTGTGTGTGTGTGTGTGTGTGTGTGTGTATATATATATAAGAAAAGTTGGCTAAATTAACACTTACAATTTTAAAATAACATTAGACACAATTTCTATGAAATTTAAGACAAAACATTCGTCATCTATCAAGGGCTTCCCCCGACTTAAGATTTTCCTAGTCAACTGTTAGTCGTTCATTTAAGCCATGACTCAATTAGTCGGGGGAGAAATACTAAACCATGATAACGAGCATTTAAAATACAGATTAAGCTCTCAAGCACGCGCATAAAGCTTGCGGCAGCGACAAATGCAAATGTTGCATGAACTTTTATGAGATCAGAATGCAAAAAAAATAAACCTAGAATATAAATAACAGCCTTAATATGAAAATATTTGTGAAATTTAGGACATAAATTATAAATAAATTAATAAAATAAATATACAGCAAACTGAAACGCTTATATATACTTATATTTGTCTGTTGGACTGATTGTAGTGCAAACAATCAGTCCAACGGACAAATAGCCTTAACACTGAATGAAAATTAACAAAATAATAAATATACATTAGCCTATATAAAAACAAATAAATTAAATGTATAGCAGCAAACTAAAAAAACTACAATAATATGGACAATTAGGTTGTACCCAACTCATAGTCACTATTTTCTTTCCTCCAAGAAACAAATACAAGATTGTCTACTTTGTTAGGGACAAGAGTGCTCCGTGTCTTGCTCACAATGAAGCCGGGCTTTGAGAAGAAGCCCTCCGAAGACGAGCACACGAAAGTTAAGTTAAACATGTCATGCAGTAAATGCGGTACTTTAGCTTCTACAATTCCCACACACAGGTTAACAATGGAGCAAGCAGTTACTACTTAAAAGTTTTAAATAAAAAGTCATGTTTGAGTTTGCACGTCACACTTTTGTGGTCGTTCTTCTTCACCCTTTTGAAATGTTCTCCACACTTTGGATTTTTTGCCCAACTTATCACCACATGGACCAGCCGCGTTGGCTTTAACTAACCGACTGATTAAAATGTAGTTAGACTATTACTAGTTCATCAACTAATGCCTAGTTCAGATTAACAAACTTTAAATGTCGGCAGATCGCTGTGCTGTTCAGATTACACGACTTGCTGTCTGTAATCTAGTGTCTTGAAGATGTTGAGGTGACCACACTACGTAAATTATCCACAACAGGGTTCCCACACTACACAAGCAAACAACTGTCACCCAACGACTCTATCTGGTCCCCAAACCACGTTTTGTCACGAAAACACACGCAAGAAGTGGAACGGGAAATGACGCGAAACAGGAATTGTTTATTTGAACATGGACGTCGGGAAGAAATTAGTGCTGCAAGCTGTTAGCACGATGGACTTTTCTGAAAAAGCCCAAAAAAGTAAAAGACAAAGAATATGGCAGAAAGAATAGATCCGCACAAGTGGGAAGCAGAGATCATCTGTGCTGCAGAGAGAGTTTAATAATGAAAAAGTAGTTGCCTGTTGCTGCTGCCGTTTTTCTTTTGTGACCTCATCCCAATGCCTTGCTCTCTCATTGGATGTAGCTCATCGAGACACTTGACACCACAGGATGTCTCCAGATATTTATGATGCCAGGTATTTGTCTGGCGACGGCAAGCCGTTCAGTAGTTCACACATAAATATTGGCGAGCGCTAATCACCCGCTGATTTGCCCCAATCACAGCTCGACCTGACGGTGAGCTCGATGATTTGAAAATCAGAACTTAAAATCCTGTGTTTTTGTAGTGTGAATTAGCATAACGTTTAGTCGACTATTAGAGGACAGCCCTACTATTGTCAATAGTGTAGAAACGTATACAGCACAGCTCGCTTTTGAACCAAGCAGCTTTCTGTTGGTCAGCATGGCAGATCCACTGGAAAGCTGCATGGGGAAATCTTTCCACCTAACTTGAAATTTCTATTAAATTGACTGAATTTCTCCCACAAAAAAAAAAGTGCTGAATGACGGCAAATGTGACCAACACTTTATGGGACCAAAAATCTTGATGATAAATTACACTATGCTGATTTTTGTGTAATCAAACTCAATCAAAAAAGGACTCAAAACTGTACTTGTAAAGTCATTCCATTTGGTCTTTATGTGCCAATGGCAAAGATAAAAACCAGATTAAAAATTAACCTTTAGTACCACAGCCATGTGCACAAACAGTATCAAGAGAAGGACATGTTTTTTTTTCATTGAGGAAGCTTATTTTTGTTGGTGTGCAAGGCCGATGCAAGTTATTTTTTACTTCTCTATGACAAAAAGTTTTACCTTTCTCTTCTTGTGGCAGACCTTGACAAGTAGCACCTCGACAGACACTGAGTTTTCTTCATTCTCTGAGTTCTGCAATGGCTTCTCTGATACATTGAACAAATCAAAATTACTAAATGGATATTATTTGTACGCGCTGGAAAGAGCATACAAAAAAATTTGAAACTTAAATGTTGGCTTACCAGTTTTATGGAAGAATCCAGTGAAAGTGAGCTGCAGGTTTGAAGCCATACTACAAGACAAAAGACTGGAGTTAAAACCTCAGCATGCATTTGACCCAATCAGTCAAGTTCAGAAAACGAGCCACATAATTCTGGAATAAAAGGACATCTTACTGGTGAGATTCCTGTTCCACTTTTGACTTCTCTAGCAGATCGTTCACTCTAAAGCTCTTTCTGAAACAATGGATGCCATCAAACATTGTTATTTTATCTGTTGAGATGCAAAGCCCTCATTCAACTACAACTAAAGAAGATCACTCGGTTGCAGTGTATCTGTCAACAAATTGTCTCACTGTGAGGCCTACAAAAGGAAATGGAAGGAGTGGCTTTGACAAACAAAGAGATTAACTTGCATGAAGTTTGTTTAATATACACCAATCATTTTACCTTTTTGAATTTGTTCTCGAGTTTCTGTGGGCCATATATGTAAGAGATCTGTGCAGGAAGATTGGCTAATGGAAAAGGAAAAATTACAGATGCAACCAGTTAAGCTATTGTTATGGCAGCCATGTACACTTCAAGTTTATATCCAAAGGAGAACAGCATGTAATTTCTTCATTGTCATGCTCTACTTACTGCTATGAGATTCCTTGTGCGAAGAAATCTATATATTTGAGTTGGTTCTGTAAACAGAAATGCAGAGAATAATGTACATTGATGTTGCAAAATTAGATGCCAGGTAAATGCTATTTTTAAATCATACTAAGCATATCGAGCCAGTATCTATGAAAAAAAATTAACCCCATTATTACACAATGACTCTCATTAATCAAGATGGCAGTTTGACTAGACTTGTCTTCGCTAGTGAAGAGAAACTTCTGGTTTTCAAGGGTTTTGTGTTGTTTGTGACTGCTTATTTCCCTTGCTCTTCTATGACCATACGTCTAAGTCCCCAATGCCATATCCAAATAATAAAACACATAAATCAGCATAAAGCACGTGTCATCTCTTGATGCACGTGTCTAATTTTCATATAGGATGTGGCCTAGACAACTATCAAGCGTTTAAAATAAGTCTATTGTGACAAAAAAAAAACATGTCTTGAGCAGATAACACATTAAAATTGATATTTAAGAAATTTCACTTCACAGTAATATTGGTTAGTATTGTTGTTTAGCCATCAAGCTAGGAGTGTGCGACAAAACAATTGTTTATAACGTTACTGTTAAGTGTGCTAGAAAAAACAGCAGTTTATGGTGTTTACAAAGCCAAGATGGTGAAAAAAAGTTCGATTTACGAGCAAACCGGAGCAACTTACTCTCGAAAGCCTGCAGGAAGAGTTCTTGGTCGGCTTGGATCTGCTCCATCTTGGGTCGCTTCACTGAAGACATCACAACTCCGGACGATACGTGCGCTCCTCCATTTGCAGATTTACTTGTGCTGTTAGAGTAAAACCCATTTCCACCAGAGCCGTGCTTTTGTGGGGCCATCCTAGAATTGTGTTCGCGGTCGAATGAGATGTTTGAAACGGAAGCCCGGTGGATTCAGCCGAGTCCTGAGCCCAAACAAAGGGAGAGCAGCCGAGACCGGTTCGCCCCCTCAACAAAGTAACAGTTAACATCAACGAGCCGGCAGATCGGTTTGTTTTACAGACCGGATGGAATTCGCGACAACACAAATGTACACGTAGAAAAACATCGCAACAACGACGACTCGTAAGCGTGAAATAAACGAGCGCTTTGCTAACTCTTATCGGATCATAATTTGCATTCCACGGGATAGTGAACGCGGACTACAACAGAAACCAGCCGCATCAGAAAGTGTGCTTAAAGATTAACTTCTATTGTGTTGCGATTCGCGAAGAGAATATCGCCGCTGTTTACTTGTTACTAAGAATATACAAGCCCAGAAGCTTTGTCCCCTATGGGAAACAGCCTGAAGTCGAAAGTGCCGTGAATATTACCCGCCCTCTTTCTTGAATGCATTCCACTCAGCTGATGATAGAACCTCGAGTTTGAACTTTACTGCAGTCAAGTTTGGTAGAGAGTGTGCTGTGCTGTGCGCTCGCGCTGCCTTCAGTTTCGCTTATTACATTTTCGCGGGAAATTCGTTTTTCAGAGTTGAGAATAAATTACGACCCCTAGTTGTTAAATATTTATCAACTATATATTATAATATATCAACTATATTTTATTAAATATTTATCTGTAGACGTATTATTTAAAATGTTTAAAGACGTTTTTGTTTGTATTGTTTGATAGTCACATTTACTAACAGAACAGTTCTTTGTTTTTTTTTTAGTTTAGACCATTTCACAAGATGTAAACAACACTGGTCCAGAAGCACTTCCTGTTTCAGTTTTTTAACACTACATAAAAGCTGGGATAAAATACAACCAACAGAACATTTAAAACTGAATCAAAAAGTTAAACAAACATCTTTAAGATGTTTTCTTTACATGTGAAATAAAGAAAACAGTTACAAACTGAAGCAGGAAGTGCTTCTGGACCAGTGTTGTTTACATCTTGTGAAATGGTCTATAAGTGGAAAAACTACTATTCAATGCTTTATGAAAGTTCATGACTTCTCCAGTTCATGACTTAAAAAAAAATCTCATCAAAATTTTTTGTATGTACATACATAGGCTATCTACTTTTGAGATTATCAAATGTGCATAAACATAAATAAGCACTAATGAGCAGCTTTTAAAAATATTATTATTTTCAAACATATTTTACATAATATAATGGCATTCATCATTTTATTTTATTCCCCATGAAAAGTTTTGTGGATGGTTATTTCATTAGACTCTCGTCAATTGATATGGGAGTAACAGCACTGTTATGAAAGCCAAGAAAATACCAACTTTTTTAGGGAACCAAGCTAAAACACTAGATTTTATATATTGACAAAAACAATGGGGCTAAAGGCACACCAGGGTAAAAGGCGCCTTTGATTTTATTTTTCTCGACAAGAATAGATGGTAGCTCAGCAATCCTTCCCTCACACTTTGTAAAAATAAATAAATCCTTCCCTTGCGGATCAAATTAACCTGAAGCCCTAAAATAATACTTACTTTTTCTGTCCAGAAAGCTTCTTTCATTTCATTTTGATAATATTTTTCTATTTTTTATGCAATTTTTTGGAGATTTTATTTTATTTACCTTTTAATTTAGATTTAACTAGATTAACTAGATTTTATTAATAAATAATGAATAAACAAGAATTTAAGCACATTCTTTCCTCACATACTTCAATTCAAAACAACTCAATTTCATGCATAACCCTCTTAATTCAGCACAAACTATCTTACATTGTGTGTCTTTGCTGACCTCTTGTGAAAAAAAAAAGATATATAACATGATTTTTCATTGATTTTCATAGACTCTTGCCTCCAGATAGCTCTATATCATGGAGCAAATTAGTATAATAAAATATATCATTGTTACTATAAGCTATATTAAATTATGTGATCTCATTCAATGCTTTCAAAATCTTTATTTTTATGACAATATATAAAATTTTACTGAACAAAAATTATTTAAAAAATAAGCAGAAAATAGTGCCCATTTTGCTAAAGTGATTGTTTAGAGCAAGTATTAACGTAGACATTATTAGAAATATAAATATAAAATAGCCTACCTTGTGCCTTTTGCCCATGCTGGTTTCACCCCGTGTGTAGTGGTAACAGGCCCACTTGCCTCCTCATTTATAAGATTTTTAAACAAACACTTTTGTAATTCATTTTCACACACAATCTGTTGCACTATCAAAGTTCAATATAACATACGAAGAGTTCAGATGCAAAAGCCTCTTAGTGCCATTTGAAATTTTCTTCTAGAATGATCATTTTTATCAAGCTTGTATATTTAAGTTCAGTGATTTCACTTAAATGGCAATGATAATTAGGCTACATATTAATTGTTATTTAAGTGAAATTACTGAACTTAAATATACAAGTTTGATAAAAATCATCATTAAAGAAGAAATGGCATTTAGAGGCTTTCAAATGGCATTTAGAGGCTTTTGCATCTGAACTCTTCTAACATCTTTTTCTGCAATTATACACTATATGAGTGAAATGCACATTTTCAAGATTTCATACCATGTTCCAAATGTTGGAAATAAATGGAGAATTAATAAATAAAAAACATAATACTTTAACCTCCTAAGTTGATATAGGTTAAGCTCGCATCTAATAAAAGGAAACGTATTGTATTGTGTAGGCCGATTGTGTAAAGCTCAATAATAAAAAATATGCTATATAATTATAATTAGAACCCGATCAACTAAATATGTCAAGAAATAAAAATCATCAATATACCAGGGAAATATGCTTACTGGCTGGATCCATCTTTAAAATTAAATTACCAATAACACGTGCTAACATTTGATTATGGCGATAAAGATTCACATAATAATCTAATGTCTACCGGATGTGTCAGCAGAGGGAATAAAATAACCTCGTTCGTTAGATCGCTTCTATAATACGTGCAAAGAAGAAGACTCATAAAATCACATGGGGAGAAAAAATTAACGAAATAAATAAAAACGAACGAATGTTTATTCGTAGTTGTTTGGTCAAACTTAGACCAAATAAAGTTATTTGCGCTCTGGCGGCCAATAGGCGCGGTGGCCAAGTGGTAAGGCGTCGGTCTCGTAAACCGAAGATCGCGGGTTCGAACCCCGTCCGTGCCTCGAGCAATGGACAAACTTGCTTTTACATTAAGGTAGTGTGACGAAACCACAGACAAATATACTTATTTTCCTTTAAGATTATTACACCGCTGAAGGGTTCATTTGAGCAGGAGAAAATAGAAAGCGTATTGGCATCCAGACTAACATGAATAGAGTCAAATGCAGGCATAACCTGTTTCTGTCAACCAGAGTTTATGATTATGATGACCTGAACAGTCTACAGACAAGTCTACTGTGTAATGTAGAAACGTTGGAACACAATGAATAATGTGCAAAAACTCCTCAATTTAAAAGTACAAACATTTATAATAAACAAAATATTGATTCCAATGCAAGGATTGTTCTTTGAAGAAAAATATTCATGATTGTGTGATTTTATAATTGTGTTAATGAAGAGAGCCAAATTGTTAATTGGGAAAGTTTAACGGAAGAATGCAAGAATGAAAGAATGTAAATTGTTGTCTGATATAGTCGATCGGTCGGTTATGTAGTAGTGTATCCACAAGATGACGCTAGTCTCCAAATTAAAACAGACCTTCACAACGACCATATAAAGGCTACGCAGCAAATATAGTGAATATTCTACAGCTCAAAATTATAAAACTGTAAAGGTTCGACTCAAACAACATAACTGCTGTTTCTCTGTGGGACATATGTTTGCCATTTTAAATAAATGATTAGGATGCCTTCCGAAACACCTTTCGCATTTCAAGATATATCATCAAGATTACCAACAATAGGTGAGTGTGACAGCCTATTCATGAATGCATGTGCTACCTAGAATTGCATTTTGGGGAGGGCCTGCGAACGGCACGAGATCTCCGCTCGCTGCTGTCTGTCACACATGGCACGCGGCTCTGCAGAATACAGGTAAACCCTTTAAGAAGGCGGCGGTGACAGTCATGACTACGCTACTGAGGAGGGAACTTACAAGGATATTCATACCATTTTGGTTATACAACAGGAAAAAAACACGCATATCTTCTCAGAAGAAACTTATATGCTGGCTTTAGTGAAAAATGCATCGTTATTCGATTTCTTCGGCAGCAATCAGAACCAGAAATGGACCGATCGACAAACTTTTCTACAACTGTTTGAGTGTCAATCAAAACGTGCGAGTATGACCGTGGACATAAATCAAAAACAGACTGGGTTGATACAACACTCAAACAGTGGAAGTCCAGCCGAGGTAAATTAATCTCCTGTAACGTCAGTTAATTGTTGATAAGAAAATAGCCTAAATCGATGTGTGCTGCTTTTATGTTTTACGAATACGAATTATAGCAGTGTATGAATGAAACAGGCTTGGTTAACCACATTAAAGTTGAATTTTGTGAAATAGTGTATTATTAAGACTATTAATCATGAACTATATATATATATTTCTAAAATCAGTAATTAATGTATAATAATAAACTGTGTATATTTGGGGTTAAATACCTTATGTGTTAGAGGTTGGGTCTTTGCGGGCAAGGTGAGTAGTTAAATTTACTCTCAACTGGCCTACAAAGTCCCAGTTTCTGGCTCATGTAATCATCCTCACTTATTTCTGTCCGAACAGGTACATTACACACATTACTAATAATGAAAAAGATATTTATTTAGAATATGTTCTGTGACTGTCGATGGGATACATTCAAATGGGAAAGATCAGTCTATTTTGCTTATAAAGAATACTATTTAGAATATAATACTTTTGAGTATTATTGTACATAATTACAAATATTTTGCTCAAGGTGATTCCCTATTTAATATCCCACTGTTGGAAGTTGGAAGTTCAAAACTTATGAAAGTTTGTTTGGATCTGTTTGCCAAAAACTTCCTGTTGCCATTGCTTAAATTGCATCGTGGCTCATTCTGGACTGAGCGCACTGCTATTGTCAATTGTACTGTCATTTGTTCCACTAGCACACTTATAGGACAATTAAGTTGGAATTAGAACCTAGTATGTAGACTTTATCTTCACAAACATTTCCGTGGCTCATGACTGTAATATTGAAAGGACCTTCACGCTGTCTAATGGGCATGTTTGTAGTGCATGTATAAACACAGAAATACCAATCCGAATAGGAAAGAATCCCTGCTCCAAAATGGACTGAACTCATTCACCTCTCTCCGCTACCCACTTAAATCCCAAAGCAAACCCCTTTTTTATAAGGGCAATTTATAAACCCCTGGCATGCATGCTTGAGGGGAGGAGGGAGGTTAAAAATCCCCTCTCTCTCTTCTTAATTTAAACTTTTCACTTGTTGGACGGCTGACAAACAGGGTCTTGCTCGCTTCCAGCCGTCTGAAGCAGGGACGCGATACAGCAGC